GGAGCCGGGGGAGCAGATGTCCATGCTTCGTAGGCTTGGCACCGCACGCCTGGACCGCTGCGCGCGTTGCCTTGCAGGCTGCCCGTTCCTGGCCCTCGTCTTCAAGCGCGAGCCAGAGGTCGGCGGTTCGTGGATCCCAGTTGACAGTGGCTGGGCAGAGGGGCTGGGCCGCTACTCGACCCACGCGGGTTGCGAGTTCGTGGGCTCGCATTTGATCGAGTCTTGGGCCGTGACTGACCGGGTCCGCGCCCTCTCCGGCGCAGTGGCCGAGCTCTGCGGCATCGTCGACGGCGCTGCCAGGGGCATCATGGCCCACAGCCTCTTCATGGAGATCGCGGACATGCGCGGCTCCGGAGCGGCATGGTCGGCGACCGTCTGCAGCGATGCCGGCGCCGCCGTCGGCGTCAGCTCGAGGAGCGGCGCGGGGAAGACCCGCCATATCGCTACGCGATGGCTCTGGGCCCAGGGCGCCGTCTGGGAGAAGCAGATCGCCTGGAGAAGATCCCGGGCGAGACCAGCGTCGCCGACTTGGGGGGGGGACTTGGGGCCGAAAAGGCACCGGGAATTCATGGAGCTGCTTCCCCTGGCGGAGCCTGCGCGCCGCCGGTTTCTGGCGGCGTCGGCGGCCTCGGGAGCGGCCCCTGCGGCGCGGGCCGCCGGGGGGGCGCGGGGGGAGCTGGCGTGCGCGGTGAAGCTGCAGCGCGAGGACTTCATTCTCCTTAACTACATGCTTGTCGCTCGTCTGACCTGGGTGCCGATGCGCCTCTGGGGCGGGGCGCGCCGACCGCGCGAGGTCCAGGGTCAGGTGGGCGCCCGCGGCCGCCTGCGGCGTCGCGACGAGTTTGGGGGGGCGAGCGCAGGGGCAAGAAGCGTCGGTACACGGCGCCGTGAACCTTGCGTGCCTGAACACAGCCATGGCTGAAGTGGCCGTTACCCAGGCTGTGGTTGGCCCCGCGCGTGGGTCGCTGGTCAGCGGGGGCCCCGTGACAGCGCCCGCGTCTGCGGCTCCAGGCCGCGACGGCGGATTGGCCCCGAGGAGGCGACGGGGGCGCAGCCCAGAGATGTGGCTGCAGAAGACCCCATCGCGGTGCGATGGATGAGCCCTCGGAGGTTCTGAACCCGAGGGCGCGGTGAGCCGGCGGAGGCGACCGGCTGCCGCCCCGGCCGATGAGGCCCTGTGAGGCCGCGGCCTGGGCTGACGGAAGGCGCCCCGCGCCCGAGATTCAGGCTCGCGTAGTGTAGAGGTTCGGCAGCGCGCGGCGGCCGTCGGGCGCCGCGCCCTGAGGGGGCGCGGTGAACTGCAGATCTTCGGTGCGTAGTGATTGAAGCCCAATGCGAAACAGAGTAGAGCAGCATGCCTTTGACAGTTTTAACTCCGGGCGTGCTGTAGCTGGCAGCGCAGGCAGTGGCGCGGACAGGTAGCGGCGAAACCGGTCCGCGGCCGGTCTGGCTCAAACGTCCGAGCGTGGGGGGGAAGAGCGCCCGAGTCTTTCCGCCCCGTCTGCGATCGCTCCCGCGAGATTCATTCTCGCGCAGGCATGCTTCAAGGTCTCCATTCGGTTGTCTTCAAACGAGGCAGTTTCCTCAATGGGCGCGAACCGTCGCGGGGGCGTCGGGGGAGGGGGCTCGGGGGAAGGGTTAATTCCAACATCGTTGATGACTCTTGCGTTTGCGCTGGTCCCCCCCTCCTCCTCCGCCTCCTACTCCTCCTCCTCCTGCTGCCCCTCCTCCTCCCCCCCTCCTCCTCCTCCTCCTCCTCCTCCTCCTCCTCCTTTGCTATCGTATTAGCATTGTCTTTGGAGCTTGGAATCGCGCCGTCGAGCTCGCAGTGGCCGGGCGTTGCGGGCGGGCCCCCTGGGGGATCGAGGGCATCGGTGCCCCCGTTTCGCGCCGATGCTGCGTTGGGGGCCAGTTCTGCCCGCGTCTCGCCGTTGAGGGATCGCGTCAGCGGTTGGCGGGCGCAGTTCATGCTGCTGTGGAGTCTCACGCCAGGCTTCGCGCTAGAGGTCGAGGTGAAAAGCAGCGGGGGGTCCTGCTCGATGCCATCCTCGGTATCGTTTAAACGATCCCCATCCCCATCTCCATCCCCTCCGAGACCATCACCAAATTGCCGCCCCAGTTGGGGGTGCCCCCTTCGAAACCCGAAGAGAACGACCTGTGCCCCCATCTAGGGGGGTAAATCGGCCAGCGGGGCCCAGGCTACGCCGCTGGGGATGGGGATCGGTTAGGCGATGCTCACATCCAGCAGTTGTGCGCCACGGCTCCCGAGCAGGCTCGTCAATCTATTGGGCGCGGGGATTTTTCCGCGGCGGCAGTAGTTCGACACTTTGAAGCAGCTCGAGCAGACCGAGGGTGGTTCATTGCAGGGGATGGTTGAATTGAGTAGGACAGTTTCCCGTCGGGGACGTCAGCGAACCATCGGCGATTTGATCGCCGAGTTTTGCGAGTGGGCGGAGTCTTCTACGGCAGTGGCCACGCTGCGCCGTGCGCTTCGGGGCCCGCCAGCCACGCCCCGTGGGATTTCCTGATGGCGATGGGGCGATGCAGCACCCGCGGGGCATCTTGGGTAAGAAGAAGGAGAGTTGGTCCCAGCGATGGGCGCCGAACGGCGCCAGGATCTCGACGGATTTGCCAGGCCGCTTCGCCGACGTCAGACGTCGAGTTCGAGAGGAAGTTCTTGCCGAGCTCACGGGGCAGCAGCTTCGCGAAGCAGGGCGGGCGATAAAGCAGGCAGCGGCGATGGGAGTGGATCGGATCACGGCAGTGGGCGTGGACCGGCTTCCTGATTCGGCGTTGGACGAGCTAGCAGTGGCGTTGGAAGTCTGTGAAAGTTGCCAGGCGTGGCCTCGCCAGTTGCCCCTGACGATCGGCACCTTATTGCCGAGAAGGGTCAAGGGTGATCGAGTGATTTGCCTTCTGCCGCACGCAGCGCGGCTGCGGTCGCAGACGCGGGCGCCGTGGGTTCGCACTTCGGCTGAGGAGTGCGAGGCGCCCTGGGATGCTGCGGCGCGCGGCGAATCGGCATTGCAGGAGGCATTTCTACGCGCGGTGGGCGAGGGGCTGGCGACCCGTATTGGCGTTGCCCATGGTAACGGGCTGCTGGGCACCGCCGCTTCCAACGATTCCATGGGCTGGATGCGCCTCGGGGCGACCGCGTTGCGGCTGGAGATTCCTGCCGATGTGTTGGGGGTAGATCTGTTTCAGTGCGTGGCGCCCAGGTGCTTTTTTTCGCGCGCTGGGGCGCGCCCGTCTGTCATCGATCCCGCGAGGTCGGTGGTGCAGGGGCTTCGGTCGGGCACGCGTTTCACCGGGGTGACAGCGTATTTCATCCGGCTCAATGTAGCCGCGGTCCACGTGGGAACGTGACATCGGCTGTGGTTCGATGGCTTGAGCCAATCTCTGACCTGCTTGGCGCGGACGCGTGCGAGCAAGGAGGGGCAGGGTCCGAAGATGCCCCAGGAGCGTCGTGATCTGCACCGAGCTGATCGACGCTCGTCAGGCACCTCAAGATCAATGGGGTGCGCGGTGCAGGCTGCGGCTCAGGCGCCTTGCTTGTGGGGCGACCTCGGTGGAAGGAAGGTCCATGCCAGGTGGTGCCGCGCTGCGAGAGTGGCCAAGCATGCGCGCATGCACGCCAAAGTGGTGAGGTATGCCCGCAGGGCTCCACGTTGCCAGCTAGCTGCAAGGCTGGGGCAGCAGGGGGCGATGGCGGCGGGCAGCTGCGCACGCCATATGCACGGCGTGCTTGGGCATGCGATGGAGCAGATGAGAACTTCTATGTGATGCAACCGGCCCTCGACTGACGGGGCGATGTGTGACTGCGCTCTTCGATCTGAGAGCGCCC